TGAGTGGAAAAAAGCCCCTACCAGGGATTGAACCCGCGGTCATTCACAGTTTCTTCAGGTTACTCTCTTATGGAGAGCAGCCAGAAATCGAGGAAATCGTTTTCCAGAATTTATGTATTCTTTGGTACGCCCTGACGGCCGACACTGTGTAGCACTCGCTGATGCGGCGTTGGCTCATCTATTAGCTGCCGGGCGTGGCGATTCGATGCACGGGGAGGAGGACCTTGTTCGGGTAGGAAGGGGAAATATGCATATGGTCAACTACATGTGTTGGTGAAAATTTTGGGAAATTCTTGTTGGTTTTTGTAGTACACTTCTACGCGAATTTTGTATGTAAACTTGTATGGTTAGTTAGGCACCTTCTGAGCTCAGCTGAGGAAAGCGAACATATACTTCTCCAATTTTCCATGTTGTCAGATATGTGTTTTATTACACCGATTGAGGCCGCTAGCAGAATCGATGATGGGTGGTATGTCATTTCTCGCTCGCCCGGAAATTATCAACGGCTTCAACGGCGATCGTGGGAGATTGCATCCGGCAGTTTCGGCGGCCGCTGAGTTTCTCATGAATAAGGAGTTGCTGGAGAGGATGAGTCCGCCGGTTTTGTATGGCGTCCTTCTCAAGCACGCTGAGTACCTTCCTGAAGGAGTGAGGGAAATTTTGTTGGAAATATTTTCGCAGCGCGCGATGGATTTGCCTGTTGTTGAGCTGCAACGATGTATACTGAGTTTTGGCGCTTCGGGGGCATTCCTGGAGCGGCTGAGTAAATACTATGGACTCTACGACGTTCATATGGACAAGCAATTGGTTAATCGGCAGTGCCTGGAATCGCTGGGTCCTGTGATGGGGTATCTTTGTAAGATTTCAAAGAAGGATGGTATGTGGAAATTGGGGGAGATGCCCTCGTTGTTGCTGCATGCAGCGCATTTGGCTACTGTTGTTGAGAAGGAGTATAAAATGCATGCAGATTTGGCGGTATGTTTCGCGAAAGTTGGAGCGGAGAAAATTCAGAGTAAATCGGTTTATGACGTGTTAGCATCAGCTTTGGAAAATTCGAGTAGGATAGAGGGCGCGATGGGCCTTCTGGGAGAAGTTTGCAAGGCGTATGGTCTGCCGGATCGGCGAGCGAATTTCGGGGCGCGCGGTCGGGCGTCGGCAGCAGCGACGAGGTTTATCATTGATTGCATTGGGAGGATGGGTGAGAGCACTGGAGAGGAGTTGGCGGTTTTTGGAGAATTATTGCGTGCCACGAAATGGCCCATGAAGCAAGCGTGGATAAGTCTGAGCGCAGAAGCGGTCAAACGAGGTTGGAAGGCAAATCGATCGAGTGATCGATTTCGGCAAAATGATACGTCCCCACCTGCTGAAGTGGAGAGAAGTGGTTTCGTCGAGAAAAGTGGTGGTAAGCGGCTGAGCCCTGTGCATGCGTACAGGTTATACCACTCCTTCGCCAACTTGCATGAGGGTATGGCTGCGACGCTGCTACCTATAGTGCTTGTTTCGATACGACAGGATGATTCTCTGGAGTCGCTCGCCCCGCTCTTCCGTGCTTGTCGAGTTGGCGATGTTGAAGTTGGTATCATGCGCGAGGCTGTTGGGAAATGTACGGCTAGAACTGAGGAGGTTCCTCGAGAAACTCTATGGGAAGCCCTGCGAGTTGCGTGCATTGGTGGATTCTCAGACGACCAGATAGAACGCCTGGTGGAGCCGTTGTTGAGCGGTGATGTGGATTTGCCTGTAGGGAGGGAAGTTGCGATCGGGTCGGTTTTGGTTGGACGGAAAAAGTCGGAAAAAATAGCGCACATTTTAAAACGGTTGGTTTTGGACGACACATTTCTATCGAAATGTGAAGCGGAAGAATTGGTGGAAGCTTTTGAACTGTGCAGTTGGGCTGGCGGCCGCACTACGGAGAATTGGAATTTTGCGGCGCAGCGAAAAGTCGGGGGAAATCATCATGATGATGATTATCATTCGGACCGGGCCCTGCTTGAGAGGCTACAGGAGAGGGTGGAGAAAGAGAGGATAGCTGCTGAAGCCATGCGGAATTTGGGCGAACGGCAATGCCCATCAACTAATGGGGTTACAGCTGGAATGGGGTTGGCTTTCTTTCTGGTCGCATTGGGTAACTGTATCGATGAGTATCTTTTCACTGGCCACATTTTGTAACTTTCGACACGTTTCTGTGACATGGTAGGAGAAAAACTGGTGATGTGTTCTGGAAGGGTTGAGAGGTGAAGTTAAATCGATTACTCGGGCGCGCGCTTTTTCGAAAGGCTTCCTAAGTGATGATTTTACTGTCATATTTTATCATGCATAGTTTTGCACTGGAGGAGTATCAACTGTAGAGGTTGAGCTTGAAAAATGTGAGCAAGATTTTTTGTGCGTGCGTGCAGGATATTTGTGTGATTTTTGTTTGGTTGTCTCCTTGGTCATGGCAAGTGGTTACTACAATAGAAGCAATGAGTGGCAGATAGTGCCGGGGTCCTCGTGTGCTGTGATGGAGGTGGACGACAATAGACCGGGCAAAAGGAAGTTCGGTATTGAAATGCCTTTACCAGGGATCGAACCTGCGACCTTGTATTTTGTAGGTGACGCCGATGGTCCTGCCGCCGCCGAGTTTGCCGCTGGGATTTCCAGCGTAGTGAGTAGCTGCAGTAGCGCCAGTACGTGCCCATCACCGATGGCCTTGTGTGGAGAGCAGCAGCAGCAGGACCAGGAAGTGGAGGAGAATGTGAAACGGGTGCGGACGGGCGAAGCGCCTGAGAGCGCACACAGGAACCCCTACGAGGTGGGACTAAGGTTACGGCGGTGTAGAGAAAGGAGTCATTACTTGTCACATGCGAAACTGCATCAGTGGTATGCGGCCACTTATACAGCTTGGGCTTATCCTGCTGATCGCGCCCTTTAGTGTCACAGCCGCGAGTACTAGGACCAAAATTAGCTTATCGATTAGAATGGCGAGCGCTTTTCGAGGTATAATATCGAGTTTTTGATTCAGTGAAGAAGTTATTTACTCTAATTTGGTGTGCTTTGAGTGCAATTGATACTTGGATGTTTCCTCCGCTGTCTCTTCGATACAGATTGCTGATTTTAGGTAATAAATGCAATGCTTCGCTCCGCTAATGATGATAAGCAGCGCAGAGCTGAGGAGGCGGCAGAGTGCGAGAGGCTGCGAGTAGAGCAGTACTGGGTACAGCACAATCGATGGCTCCAGCGTAACTTCAGTGATCTCCGGCAGAGCAATGGTCATCAGTGAGGACGCTCTCCTCATTGTAGCACATCGTGGTGTTATACTGTATCGTCCTTCTTATACGTCTTGCACACACTCGCATTCTCTCAATTTATACGCTGGTAACTACCTGTATTTTCAGTGAGTAGTATACGTTGAGATCCGTAATCGAGAATAATGACGTTCGCTTAAACGACAAACTCTCTCTTATCACGAGTTACTTGTGTTCCTCAATGTTGGCCCGGGTCAAGGAAAGCTGTGTGACACAACTTGTGTCTGTGCCTGGTATACTTGAGCACTGAGCCTGCATAGTAGCCATTGGCTAGTAAAGAGCATTCTCCCATATACATTTGAGATTCGATAAGAGTTCATCAACTCCGACGGGATGGAATTGTTGTTTTGTATCGCCCTGCTGGCCCAATGGATAAGGCGCCACCCTCCTAAGGTGGAGACTCCGGGTACGATTCCCGGGTAGGGTAGTTTTATTACACGAAGTTGTGATAGGAGTCGTTATCTCTGACCCAACCAGTCGTGTTTCTCAAAATCTTTCAAATTTCAGATGAGGTTCCCTTCGGTTCTTGGCATGGCGATCAGAAGCCCGATGCCCCGTATTATTCGGAATGATACGGGGCATCGGGCGCCAGAATGATTCATTCCGACCACCGTATTACCCCATCTGCAATATGTAGTGAGATCCGAGCCGCTACTAGCTGTGTTTTGTCGTCGGGATGGTGGTGTGAGGCTCAAAACCATCAGGCGGTGGGTCTCCGGACTTCTCGGGCACTCGACTGATAGGCGCCATTATAGGCAACAAAAGCGCAAAGCGAAAGAACGACAACAAGACCGAAGGACGTAGCCAGTTTACACGTACTCTGTGATTGTAGCTTATGGGATAACTTGTGCTCAATGTGGTTTCCGTATGCTTTGCCAAGTTGCTTTCAATATAGTGGGTGGCGGTAGTGGCGTTCGTAAACACGAAGTGGCTGCGAGAAGGAGCATATTCTCATCAGTTTCGTAAATGTCTAGGTATTGATTGCGAGCATGAGTTCATTCACTTCGACGTCAGCCAGCTCATTCGCCATCGAGGTCGTGAAAGGGCTGCATACGATTGAGGCAAGGAACGAGGTGAGGTTTGGAGCCCAGCAGATGGATAGAGACCGTTGAAAATATATACCCTACCCGGGGATCGAACCCGGAATCTCCACCTTAGGAGGGTGGCGCCTTATCCATTGGGCCAGCAGGGCAATGAAATTCATTGAACGTTAAGGAACCTTACCCGCTTCCGAAGATAGTTGTTTCTTGAAATCAGGGGATCTCGATCAGTGTGCTCCAACAAGAACTTCAAGATGCACGAAGACGTGAAAACTATATGGCCCAAGAGATAGATAAGCTCGAAGAGAAGTGCAGCGAGCTTGACAGCACGGCTCGCCGCATGAGTGCGGAAGGTGAAGCAGCACGGCAACAATGTGCATCGCGAGCAACACAACTACAGGCGTTACAAGGGGAGCTCGAAGGCGCTAGAAGGAAGTTGACTGAGGCTGAGCAACGGGTTGCTAGATATCGCGCTGAGAAATTCAAAGCCGAAAGAGAAGTTCAAGACATCCAATGGGACCAGTCCAAGAGGGATAATCGGAACGACTCACGGCTCAGGGAACTGCAGAAAACGGCTTCATGTTTGAAGTGTGCATATCAGTCTGCTTTCGCCTTGAATAACGAGAGTGAAGACCTTTGCACTTGCTTGCAACTCCGTCTAAAAGCAAAGTCGGAAAAGATACTCAATTTGCAGAATCAAAATTCTCGCC